GGCAAATACTGTCTTGACAGAAATGTCTCTGTAATAGAGTCTCCCTTCTCAGTTACTTGTCAATGAGAACCTAGTACAACTATGTTAAACATAAAGATCCACCCAAAAGAATGCAAAATGCATTCTGTCCTTCAGCTTCTGCCTTCCATTTGGAAGCCCAACTAATTTTGGTTTAGTAATTATCTCAGGTCTTCTACTTTTGCTTTTCTTTTTGGCCATAATCTAAGCCTAGGGAAGACCTTTCATTAATACTGTTTTATGAAAACTTTGTTTGACTCAAAGATTACAACTAAGCCTTCTGATTGCTATTGTCAGCCCTCATTTATCCTATGTACTTTGTCAGGATCCTGAGTGCAGGAACAGGCCTTAGTAGGCCAACAATCCTCACCTGCCCAACTCGCAAGGGCTCAGGAGCCCCACTTAAACTGAGCCCTGGGGCTTCAGACCATGCCTGACCTATGTATTAGGAGTATGGGTCTCCAGCTCAGTCATGACTGTGTCAAGCCATGTTCATCAGGACCTGGAGTTATAGACTGACTTCCTAGCTTGAGCTCAGTCTTTTCTTACCAGTATGGACCTGTATGGCAATCACTAGGTTATATCTGACCCGAGTTCTCCTCATTGCACCTGACCCTAACCTGTGGACCGCCTTCCCAGCTTGACCTTGGACCTGCTTTGTTGCTTGCCTGTACATCCTGGCTGAATGTGGTGTGCCCTGCTTGCTTTGCTCAGGTACTGTGGGCACTGAGGCTCTGCCCTACCAGCTGTGTTAAAGTGCTTGGCTCTTGCCCCTGATGGAGCAGCCAGCCCCACTGCTCCCAATGCCTTTCTGTTTTACCTTCAAAATAAACCCGGTATTTCTACAAAAATATGCCGCCTGACAAAACTAAGTGAAACGTTTTTTTCTTTGTTAATGCTACAAAATCCCATGATTAATTCTCTGATTCTATTCATTAAATATTATTTCTTTTGGATTCAACAGACTTCTATTTTCTCCTGTGGTTTGCAAGCTGAATTAAGTCTCACCAGGTATATGTTCTCATTTCAATATGCAGAGTATTAGTTCTTTCTCCTTATTACCAGTTCTCACAAATTCTTTCCCCTTATTATTAACAGTCCTCATGACTGGAATTTAGCTTGAAACCCTTCTAAAGCTGAGAACAGTCGCTTCCCTCCCCCTCAAAGAGCTGCTGCTAAAACTAACTAACCAATCAAACCCTCAGCTGAGCTATTTGCTGTGTCCTTTCCTATACTATGCCAAAGGTTAAGCATAACACTGAATTTATGCAGATTGGGATCTAGCCAAAAAATATTACAAATCACTTTGTCTGGTGTTATGCCTTAGCTTTCAAAGGCCTTGTGTTTGTTATAATAACTCCTCAATTTTTCTAGATTCTTCTCTTCATAACCATAGTCTCAGGCCTATGCTTAACATAGAGGAGAAGACCCATGGTTGGGTCTTTCAACCTGCTTGGTTAAATCATAAACCCTCCTCCCTTTCCAACTCCAACAGTTCAGAGAAAAGACAGGCTTCCTAAGTAGAAATAAGTCCCACATTCCAATCCCTTTTCCTCAGAATCTTAAGTGCAAATGCAGGCTTTACACTTAGCACACTGCCAAGCCATATATTTACACAGTCGCATATTAATTTGTACTGAAATCCTTCTCTTTGACATCTAGGTTGGTATTTTAAAGAAAATAGGCTCTCTGTGGTAACTATTTCATTTCCCATCATTACCACTAACCTCAAGATAAGAAAATGCAATATAGCCATGGTTGAGTCTTTTAGCTCCACAAGAGGTTTATTCCCTTATAGATCAACTGGGACCTCACCACCTGTAAGAATAGAAAGAATGGCAGTTAGTCAAGAGAACTGTCCCAGGGATAATTAGCTATTCATTAGCTATGTAGCTATTCATGTCGACATCTTTCATCAGAACTACACTAACGGGTATTTAAACTTCATGAAAAGTAATGAAATCCTCATTCAACTGAATTCAAGTGCAAAACCTGGCAGTCGGGGTTTTGCTCAGGTTGGCTCTGCCTGCGGTGCCGGGCGCCATCTTGTGTCGCTTTTGGGCCTTTAGCTCAATAGGCATTAAAACAATAATTTTAAAAAAAGCAGCATGGCCTAAGGTGTAGTTGCTCTGTGTTATAAGTAAAATCAGCACTAGGCTTAAATATCGTAATAAAAAGTTTTATTATAGATTTATTATTGGCTATCACACTCTGTGCCAGAGAATTTATATGCCGACTCTTGTGGGCTCTCAGCAGTGTCTCTTTTCACTAACGATATCTGCAGCTTCGTGCACTTAGTCATCAGCTGTCCTGAATATAACCCAAAACACCAGCTTCTAACACTTTTAATTTTAACACCAAACATAGCAGGATAAGCCATCATAAATTTAATTTTGCAGTGGCTTTTATATACTGCCTCACATGTACCTGCTACATCCCCCAAGAAAAATGGCAGAAGATCCTACGTGTATATACTTATTTACATCCCAAAAAAGAAATGTAATTGCTTTAGCATCTTTCATTTTTTATTGGACATCCCTTTTTAAATTCTATTTTAGCCTTCTTTTTTTAACTATAGCTGGATGAATGTGAATTTTGGCCACTGCTGCTTTCTCTATGAGAAACGGTGGTTATCTCATGACTTTGGGAATACAGCCATTTCGTAGTAAGTTTTCATTTCACAAATAACACTACGCAGTTACTGAATTAACTAACGCAGAGCACATCACACCACACAGTTCCTGAATTCAGGCAAACACGTTCTGGACACACAAATTCTCCCAACGTCATTGCGGTGCTGTCACTGAATGGCACACACCTGGCCGGATAATTTTTTTGCTCAATTTAAATGATCTTTTGGTTTCATGAAAGGATTTTACCCAGTAGATCATAGAACAACAGAATGTTAAGGGGTTGGAATGAACCTTGAAGATCATCTAGTTCCAACACCACCCCCCCCCGACATGGGATAATAAGAATATAGTATTTCCTAATAATTTAATTCAATAGAAATAAGTCAGTCAGTCATGTTTACGTATTAGCATATACTGGTTTTTAAATACATGCATATCAGTTGTTGGAGGCTGTTACACAACCCATTAGCCTCTATTGGTATTTCCCTCGACGCAGCCCCTGTCCAAGCACAGCAGTTTGGGTCTCTCCCCCCGCGAGGGAGCCGAGAGCCCCTCGGCGCCGCCGCCATTTCGAACGAGGCCGCCCCCGCCGACGAGTGGCGCGCGCCCGAGCCAAGATGGCGGCCGGCCAAGGCGCCCGCCCCGGATGCGGCCGCGCGCCCCGGCAGCCTTTGGCGCGGGCCGGAAGTGGCGGCGGTGCCGGTGGGGGCGATGGCGGCGGGCGGGCAGCGGGGCGGGACCGCGGCACCCGCCGCCTCCCGGCGCCGCGGCGCGGGCTGAGGGGAGCGGGCCGCCCGCCGCCGCCCTCCCGCTCCCTCCTTCTCCGCCGGAGCAAGGTAAGGGGCTCCCGGCACCGGGAAAGGACCAGTTAGGGGCGAGGCGCGTTTCGCCTGGAGCAGCACGAGTCCGGCGAGCGGTGGAGGGAGGAGACCCCAGTGGTGGTGAACGGGTCCGGTAACCATTACGGGTGTCCCCAAAAGCTGCGAGTTACAATGGGGTCTGGAAACGGAGAGTAAGAATGAGAAAACTCCTGAGTGTTTCCTCCTTTGGTGTAACCCGGAGCTAAGGCTGCTCTTCTGACCAGGGCAGGATCAAAATCCGCAGCTGTTTACCTTCTTAAATCCGCTGCTGTTTTAATAGTACTTGTGCTTTCAGTATGTAATTGCCTTCCGAAGATTTATTTTCTTCGAAGGCGACAACTCGTGAGCCAGCTTGGCAATGCCGAACTGCTGGAAAAAACATCCAGTGGCTTATTTGCTGCGTAAACGTGGACTCGGGGGTTCGAGTGTTACCCAGTAGATTAACAACTTCTTACACAAATTTTTCAGGTGTCCTACTAAAACTATTGACTCAGCGTATCAAAGGGAAATAATGCAGTTAAGTTATATAGAAGGATCAGCTAAACAAGAAGTAGCAATCATAGACATAAATTATGGTATTCTCAGGTATTTACTATTCTTTCCCAGGTGTTTAATATCCTTGTATGCGTGACTGTTTTAACCACCATGAACACAGCAGTGTGAGGGCCAGAACAATTTCTCCAGGGCTACCCTGACCAGATTCTGTAAGGTCAGGATTAAGGATACCCTTCAAGATTGCTAACCAAATAGTCGAGCTCAGAAAGGGTGATTTAGAAAGGGGTAGTGATTTTTTTTATCGCTTATGGTAAAAATCTCATACTTCCATGAATTGTCATTGTTCTGTATGCATAATTCATTCTTAAATATGCGTTTCTGCCTAATGTTTTAAGGCTTAATGCGTTCTCTTAAAACAGCATTACATAGATGGATTTTACTCCTCTCTTAAAAAAGGTAGGAAAAGTAAAAGCCCAAGTCTGAAAAAGCCTGTTTGTTAGGGGACCCCTAATCAGCTGCAGTGGTTCTCCCTGCCCTGAGCAAGGGCCGTTTTGAGGGAAAGAGGTGATGACTCTGTATGGAGGTACTTCAGCTGGTACTTCATGCTGGTTTGTGACTGGATTGAAGAGTGTTTCCAGTCACCTAGATCCCATGCTGCTAGCTGGAGATTTGAAGCAGCTAAAATTAGGCCCAGTAGTGTCTGTGGTGCTCCAATAATTTGTGCTTTTCCTGAAAAGTGCCAGTGGAGGGGTGTCTGGTTTGTTCTGCACCGAGGCACTGAACAGTAGAGGTGTGCAGCTCCATTCCTCTGGAAGGGCTGTGGCAACTGTCCACACAGGGACTGCAGGAATACAGTTAGGTGCAAGGAACATGCTTATAGTACCTTCACGTGTGCAAATACATACCTTTGGTACATATCTTCTGATGTTCTAATTGAAAACATATGGTTCATAGATAGGCACTCCACTAGAGCTTAATACAACTGGACATTGCTACACCACAAACAAGCAGTGATGCTCCTGTTACTGGCTGTCTGGCAGCATGTTTGTCTTGCAGACATCAAAGAACTTTCCAAACTTAAATATTTATAGAAAATCTTGTGTTATCCCACCCTACGTCTAGAGATGCTGAGGGCAAATGGGGTAAGTAATCTGTGCAATTGATGACTTTTGTTGCGTTCACTCTGTCTTTTGACTGGGTATATCCTGACAGCCAGCAGGCCCTAGAATAGCCAGAGCCATCAATAGAGCTCTGTAGGTCCTTACCATTAACCTGTCACTGGCAGAGTACTGTCATTTTCTATGAAGCAGAGAGAACTTGAGAGTCTTCAGAAATTGCCGTGTGTGCTGTTTAAACTAATGTGTAATGAAAAGTTTTAGAAAGTTAAGTTACAAGAACCAAGGTTCATCTGTGTCTCCTCTTTCCCAAGCTGTACTAAATGTTTATGTCACCTTTTGTTCCAGGTGCAGAGCATGGAGAATGATGAACTTCCGCCAGAGGATGGGATGGATTGGTGTGGGGCTGTACTTGTTAGCAAGTGCTGCGGCTTTTTATTATGTCTTTGAAATCAATGAGACTTACAACAAACTAGCACTGGAGCACATTCAGCAACATCCGAAGGAGCCACAGGAAGGAACCACATGGACGCACTCCTTAAAAGTACGACTGCTATCCTTGCCTTTTTGGCTGTGGACTATAATATTTTTAATACCATATTTACAGATGTTCTTGTTTCTCTATTCCTGTACAAGAGCTGACCCCAAAACTGTTGGGTACTGCATCATTCCTATCTGCTTGGCTGTTATTTGCAATCGTCATCAAACATTTGTGAAGGCCTCTAATCAGATCAGTAGATTACAACTGATTGACACTTAGCTCAAGTTCTAGTTTCTCTTGCTGTTTTGAAGCAATTGCATATGCCTGATCTAATCACAAGACTGAAGTTCTGAGTGAAGGCCGGAAAGAGCCCTTTCTTTCAAACTGATAAGCAATGAAGAGAGTGACTGTTTTCTATTTAAAAAAAAAAAAAGTAACTATAAAGGTTTTTTAATTATGGGTCTATCAAGCAGCCAGAGTGGGAGAGCCCTGTGTGACATGTGATGGAAGTATTCCTCATTTTGCCTTAATGATGCAAAATCACAACACTCCATCTGAAACGTCCTGTGGGGAAACGAGTTTCTGGTCCACAACTTTACTCCTCTGTGCAAAAAAGTGATTTCCTATGTTTTCCCTTGGAGTAAAATCAATGAAAAGATGCTGCTTTTGTGGTAAATGTAAAAGGAAAAAAATATGAGAACGTGATTATAAAAGCTGCACTTAACACAATTCTTTTTCTTTTTTCTTTTTGCTAATTAATATCTACATCAGTGCTGTTTTTAATGAATTTTTTAAAAATAAGTTTAGATATAAAAACAGGAAGCAAAGAATAAAGTTTGTGCAAACATTTAAAGGGAAAAAGTACTGTTTTTCCTGTGGTAGCCTACTTTTTTTCAGTGACCACAACAGTGTAGTAAGTAGGCAGTGAGGAGTGGCATAAGCCTGGAGCTTGGTGCTTTAAGCTGTTTTCCTATGACATCAAAAACAGCTTATGCTGTAATTGGCCTGTAGTCTGCACAAAACTTCTTTTATGTTTTCTTCTATTATCTGACTTGATAAAATTGCTGACATTTATGACCATTCTAACTTCACTCCAGACATGATGCAAAACCATGTTCCGGGAGCACTGACATAATTAGGAAAAACTTTGAATTTGGGAAAGTTAACTGGTATTACATTGGAGAGATGCTAGAAACAGGTTGTAAGACAAGTAATCATGGTTCTTCTAGAAATTCAAAGAAGTAAGATACTTTCTTCTCGTTCTTGTAATGAATGCAAATTTCTTCTGTCACACTGAAATTTCGCTGAGATTTCTTGTCATAATTTCAACCTCTATTTTTCAGTGCTGTTTTGGCATAGCTTTTAAGTCTAACTGCTGTATTGTATATTTTGAATAAGAGTGAAATCTATTCTTTCCTCTTGTCCCTTTTTACTTCTTAGAATAACTAAATCTTTGACCCAGCCATGATGGAAGTAACTTCACAAATACGAAAACAGTGCAAAATACACTCTTTAGAAGCAGTAGGCCCAAAAGAATTATGAGCTAAATTCGTCAATTATAATTTCAACTGTATGTGATTGTCCATACCCAATCATCACAAATGATAATCCATTTCTGATTGCATTAAGGGAATCCTGGGAATATCAGCTTTCTCTCACTTTGGAAAGAGAACACTATTTTCAGTTTTGCTGTGTTTAAGCATGGCAGTTACAACACCTTAAACTTTCTGCTTGCATTTGGAGATGTTTTGAGACGCTGGTTTCATTTGTCAGCATCGGTGCTTGGACCTGAAAACAATGTAGCCTTTACAAGAAGGTTTTGAGTTCTAAGTGCAATATGAAAAGGAGGGAGCTGCCATCTCAGTATGCTGGAGTAAGAGTAAATTATAAACTCCGATGAGTAGTTATTATCTTTGGAATCAGAGCTTTTAAGTTGTGTCGTTTCTCAACTTCTAAAATCACCATGCTATTTATCTATAAAATAAAAACTTTTCAAAGTTTATAAACAGAAGTCTGTTAATGCAGATGCATATCAAAGGCTTTTCTTTTTTGGTTTTGGGTTGGGTTTTTTTGTGTATGTTTGTTGCCAGACAGCAGTGCTGGCTGCCAGCTGCTGTAGCTGTCCTTCCCTCAGGATGTGTGTTCAGTTCATCTTTTTTGTTGTCCTTTTATGCTCTGTGCCCTTGTTGGTAGCATGGAGTTCTGGGACTGGCTGGATAAAACCAAATCCCTTTGTCATTTCTTCACCTATGTATAACAAAGAGATACCTCTGGCCAGACTGTTTGTAACTTGGTGCCGTAGTTTTAATCTGAGCAGTTAAATCTGTGTCCAAATGGAAATATTTAAAGAGTTATTTAAAGAATTAAAGAGGAAGCATAAAAAATAGAAAATGGTAGTAAGAACTGCCTAAGTTTCTGTTGTGCAAGCATGTGACCCTTAGCAAACTCATCATCATGCCTGGTGGGATGAGCCAAGCTGTCTGGATGTGGAGCACGTGCTGAGCACAGTGGTGACTTACAGAAAGGCAGTTTGTGTTTGTAGACTTTTCCGTCAGAAGCCTGGCTTTGGATTACAGGTGTTGGCAGTCAAGAGCTTTTCAACTAAATACAGAAAGATACAAAATCTAATTCAAGCAAATGCTGTGTCTGTAAGGACTTGAGCTTGAAGCTGAAAGCAGCAGTGGAGAGAATTAGTTTCAACTATCAACATAGTGTATAGGAATACTAGACAATAGGAGTAGGAGAAGAGCAAAGTTAGCTCTGCTGATGCTTCCAGTGCTTTTGGCACCAGGAGAACATCAAGAGACGAAGTCTTACTGACAGAGTAAATAAAGACTGTACAAATTAATAATAAATTGGGTTTTATTATAGTCTCTTAAAAAAAGTAGTGAAATAACTTGAAGCTTAATTATTATGAAGATTTGTAGGTAGTGTCAATGCTAATTAGTTCTGAATCAGAAAAGATAACTGCCTGTAACACAAATTGACATAATCTACAAGCTTTTGGGATAATCAAGCTCAAGTAAATTTTACAACCTCTTTAAATAGACTACAATACTTCTCAATTAGTTCTTGATCATAACTGGCAGATAATGGCAGAAGTATGTTTCTAGGGCAGTGGCATTAATCTAGTGTAAGATTAGCTTATGCTAGAACTTGCTTATACAAATCTATTTAGTTGTTTTCACTGACTAGGCAGTAAAGATGAATTGCTGTAACTTGGGGTGGGAAAGCTATTTTTACTCATAGTCTTTTGACTGAAAATGAGTTACCTCAAACCTGATCTTGAAGAGCTTCCTACAGCAGAAGCTAGAATAATAGAAGCAGTAACAAAGTCCTCAGAAGATTGCTAAACTCTGCTAGTTTAGTAATCATTCAGAGCTTTAACTTTCTGCCAACAAAGTGAGTAGTTGTAGCACAAGGGTGATTAATATTCATCTGTGTGCCACCTACCCTGGATTTCTTTTTATTGCATTTTGTCTCAAGATAAAGCATTGGCAGACTGCTTGAACATCACGTGGGCAGTCTCAGTTTCTTTAGCTGCTTGACCTTCACCTGACAGTGCCTTCCTGTCTGCCACGTATGTGTTTGTGAGTGCTACTGAGCCTGTTCTTCACTTCCTGCCATGGGGGAGAAGGTCTAATGAAGAGCATAGCATCAGGCTGCAGCCCTTCAAACTTGGGACTGAAGTAAGTTGCAATAAATATGTTCCTTATGACATGTCTCTTCCAGCAGCAAAGTAAAACTGCAAGCTTGGTTCTTAATTAAAAATATAAAGATTGACTTATCCCTGGAACAAAACTTTCCAGTTTGTGCAGGATACCTATTAACTCCCCATATTTTCTCTTGCCTAGTCCATTGTTTTCTTAAATGGATGTTCTCTAGTTTATTATTCTATTAGTTTCTAAAAAAATGCTGCTTTTCATGTGCCAGTCTTTGAGAACCTGTTTTCTATATATGACCTACTGCATGAAAGCAGTTTAATAACTTTATCACATAGTTAAATTTTAAGAACGGACTCATTTTAGCTCTCCTTAAGGCTAACCCTATGGTGCAGGTTTCTTCTGGGAAGAAAGAACATGCTACAGCCATAAGAAGGTACTTCTGCTCAAGTCAGTCCTCAAAGTAAGTAGAACTCATGACTAATACATTTGGCTAGTGGTTGTGCCCAAAACCACTCTTCAGTTGTTTACACCCCTGAGTGTTAGCCTCTTTACCACATGTTAAGCCCCATGATGTCCTAACTGCCAGATTACTCTGTATTTTATAGAGAACCTGATATTTGTAATACATTGTGTATAAATGAACTTTTAAGCTTGAGTGAGTGGGAATTACATAGGGGCTGCAATGGGTGAATTGCATTCAAACCCTTTAATGAAAATGATGACAGTGGACCTTTCTCCTGGGAACTAGAAAAGGTCTTGCAGTTTTAGACAATGCCCCAGTTATTGGGCATAATGGGATTGGCCCCTTTCCCTCACAGAACTATCTGTGTGCCTCATAAATATACTTGTGATTTTAAACCTTTTAAACACAGAACACTGCAACCTGTTAAATTCCTTTGTGGATTTAGCCTCAAAGTTGTTTGAACCAGCAAAATCAGTATTTCAAAGAAGTAACAACAGTATGTCATAATCCCCGTCTTTGTGAAGGAGATGTACTTCGACATTTTTGCTGTTCTGTTTTGTAACTAGTAAAAGTAGTTGGTTCTTGTCTAAATGCTACCAAGAGTTTAGTATCACTTCAGCTCTTAATTCAATACAAACATACCAGCATTCTCCCCCTTTATTTTAGTAAGGAAATCCGTTGAGCCCCCATCAGGCTAGTAAAACCAACTTCTATTAGTAAGGCATACAAACTGCACTAAACAGTGCAGGTGTGGTGAACTGAGCTTGTTCTGTGTCAGCCTGAAATTTGGTTAGGTACAAAAGCACTGCATGTCTCTTGAGATAAAAGATTTGCCATCACTCTTCCATCAGAGCTTACCTCCTCTACCTACAGTGCAGGGGCCACAGGTGATTTAGGGGCTCCCCAGAAAGGGTTCAGAACTCAACTGTAGGGTAGGTCCTGAAAGGGGTTGGGAGGGTGGGAAACCGCATCACGCTAAAGTTTTCTGTGCCAGGTAACGTTGCAACAACTCCCAGATAAATGAGGTTCGCTGTTTAGGGCACTTCAGTCACAAGCAGACTTACAGTTTAGAATTGCATAAGGTCCCATGAAGTTCCAGTGCCCTTTTCATCACATGAAAGTTTCTGTGGCTAAATAGGGACTAGAAAAGATTCTTAAAAGGCAGAAACTTGAGTGGTTGTTTTTGACCCAACGTTCATCAGTATCTTCCGGAGCTCAGGTGCAGCACATTCCTGTGTCCAGGCTGGCAGAAAAAAGTATCCCATTACTGGAGTGTTACCTGCATTTAGTCCTGTGCTAGTAAACTTAGGGTTTGTTGCTTTAGACCAGAGGTT